TGAGAGGGTGTTGGCACTTGCTCCAGGTCACACAGTCAGTTAACATGGTGACTGCATACTGCCTCTTCCCTGCCTGGGGCCTCTGTCCAGGGGTTAAGCTTCCGGAGAGGCCCTGGTCAGAATGTAGTGGGGTTGGGCTCACGAGAAACAAAGGCTTTCTCCAGAAGGGCCATGTGTGTGGGGCCTGGCTGGATGCTAAAAGCTGGATGGAAAGGCATTCCAGGGGCAAACCAGAAACTGAGCAGAGCTGGAGAGTGGAGAGAGAGCGGGGCTTGGCAGAAGCGCCCCAGGGCCTCTCTACCTCCAAAGGACTTGACTGTAGGCTGCTGGGTCGGGCTCTGCTGGTCCAACTGGCCCAACCACTTCTGGGCACTATCCACTGCCTCTTTGCAGAATCTTACCAGGAGATGCCAAGTGAAGTCTGCCAGGGGCCTCAGCTCCCACTTCCCAGTCTCCAGACAAGAATAAAGAGGTCATGAGCTCCAGGCTGCTCTGTTCAGCCTGAAAGAGTCGGGGCCAGGTCATATCCCTCTGGAAGGGGACATGGGGAAACTGTCTGGGGAGACCTGTGCGATTACACTCTCTTCTTTAAATGGGCTTGTTTTTGCTTTAAAGGACAGACACATCCTTTTCCCATTCAAACAGCCAATGGATCCTTTTTTTTTTTTTTTTAAGGTTTCTGTGGCTCTCCCTGCCTATTTGTCATTTCCAGCTTTGGGTCCTCACGGGGCTTGGTCCTCACCAGCAAGGCAGTGTCCAGGTAGCTATGTGACCCAGGAATAGAGCTGGGTCTTTTATAGTGTGGTCAGAATCACATGGAGGACTGGCACCTCCCCCTCCTTGCTGGGAAATGCTTCCCTAGGGCAGGGAGGGGCAAGGCTGCAGGCCTGATCATACCCGTGCACAGTCCCAATGTAGCAAGGGAAGAGAGACTGCAAGGTGGTAGGGAAGAGGCTGGGGTGGAAGGGTGAAGGGTAGGGGTGTGGTGGTGGGGGATGCAGCTGTAGGTGAGGGCTTGTCTACAGCCCTTGGCCTTTTCAAGGACCTTTACTTCATCCCCTGTCCTTAGTTTTCTGTATCTGCCAAATGTTCTGGGAGCCATCATCCACAGAGGAGCTGAGACAATCACGCAGGAGCAAATAAGGGACTGGTAAAACCACCCCTGTCTCACCCTCCAGCCTTCACCTCTGTGGGCAGGCACACTAGTAGAACCCTGGCCTTCACCCCTGAGTGGGTTCTGGGGAGATCAGGATGTTCCTTGTAGTCTGTAGCTGACACTGGTGACCAACCCCAGCTCCACTGCCCATCTTTGCTGCTCCCAGATCCCTGTGAGGAACCGGTACAAAAGGGGCTTGCTCAGGGGACAGCCTGGCCGGAACTGTGCTAAGGTCAGTGCTGGGCTCCACCCACGAGAACCACAGGAAAGCCCTGTGCTCTGCTGTCTCCCAGGCACTTTCCCCATTTCTTCCCAGGAATTCTCAAGTTTCACTAAACAGATTTATGGAAGAGGAATTACAGGGAGGATTAGGCCAGCCCTGCTGACTTTGTGTTGACAGCTGGAACCAAGCCAGGTTGAGCTTGCTCCTCTGGTCTCAGAAGCCCCATCTCAACCACCAGATGTCATTATTAACATCTCCATTCCACAGATGAGGAAACCTACGCATAGTAAAATCACAGGTTCAGGGCAGAGCAAGGCAATCACCGTTCAGCTCTTCCCTGCCATGTGGCACCACCCATAAGGTCTTTCTGGTCTGACTTAGCTTGTCCCTCACCTAGTGCCAGAAGCTGAAGCCTCTGTGACTGCCTTAGTGACCTGAGGCCTAGGCATGCCCCACGCGTCCTTCCCATCTCACTACCCCCAACAAAACCCTGCCAGGCTCCGCTATTCCCAGCAGTTGCCCAAATATATCATTCCTGCTGCCTGTGTTTCCTGTCCCAGAAACATGAGTCTGCTCTCTCTTGAGCAGGCCAGTGTTCTGGGTGTGGTGGAGGTGGCTGCCCTGACAGCCAAAGCTTCAGGGCTAGAATAATGACACAGGCAGAGACAGAGCAAATGGTACTGAGCGAGCACGGGACAAAAACAAACTGCTGACCGAGATGAAATGGGAGACCCTGTCCCGTCTTCAGCTGGTGGCTCGCAGGAACAATGGCTGGTCTTTCAGGTTGCTTCTTTGAATCCTAGACTTCTCCTTTAGAGATCTTAGGACCCTATTTTGCTCATGGCTTGGGATAGTGCCAGGGTGGCAGGAATCTCTGTCCTTTTCTCTGGACAAACCCTCCAGAGAGCCCTCGGTGGTTACTGCTCAGTTCCACCCACCTCTGGTCCCTTGGCTTTTTCCTTAACCTGGAGAAGGAGGGGTGAAGAGTAGGAAGGAGGGAGGGAGGAAAAGAGAAGGAAAGAACCACTTCTGGGGGCTGCTTTGAGCCCAGTCTTCCTGAAGGATTTAAACCCATGTCATGAGAGACAATCCAGAACCCGTTCAGAGCCAAAGCCTGTGACTTAGCACAATGGCCATTCCTATAACCCTAAACATACAACATAGAGACCAAGTCCTTAGCAGACATCCACCCTGGCTGAGAGTGTATCTATTCTCCCCTCTCTCTCTCCTCTCTCCTATCTCTCTTTACATGGCCTCTTTCATAGGTGAGAATGGGTTGGGGAGGTGTGGTCCTGAGGATGCAGTCAGGGTCATAGACTCGGCATGTGATAAAGTTTCCTTCGTAGCCTCAATAGGCCCTTATTAGGTTGGCTGGTGACAGCTCATCTTGACCCTGCCCGGGACTACCCAGTGTTGTACCCAGCTCCACAATGCAGTGGTTCTAGCCAACCCGGTCTGAAGCCCTGACTTCTACACAAGTCTATCTTCTCCTTTGACCAGTCTCTGGAGCGAAGCCCACCTGCATCTCTCTTCTGCCCTTGCCAGAACATGGCCAGGTCAGTCTTAGCCGCTCTGCATTTCATTATGTCACAGTCCCCCTTGCTAGTCAGCAAAGTTGCCCTTAATTATGGTCCTCACTTCTTGGGTGCTTGAGGATTGTACACAAGGCACACATCTAGCACCTAGGACAGAGCCCAACCCTGGGTAGCCCCCATTATCAAACACAGTTACTCTTCATTGCCTTTTTCCAAGGCAGAAAGCAACAGGTGGGAAGAAAGGTTTGCTGGCTGGCCCAGAGCTCCCCAGTGGCTGGCTCTCTCGCTGTGGTCCCTGGCACGGGGTAGGTCCATTGTTGATGTTAATGGGAGAGGCTCAGTTTAGCTGCTGTGGATCTGGAGGAGGAGCTAGATAGGGTGATACCTGATTCCAGGTGGGCAAAGGTCACCTGAAGCTTACCTTGCACACCCTTTCCTTTAGTCCAGCCCCAGGAAAGCTAAATAGGGCCCCTCAGCTCAAGGAAAGGCCAACTAGGCATCAAGGAGGAGTCCTCTGTGAGGAGACACAGCCAAGATAGGCAGAGAAATGTTGTGGGACATGACCCAGGACACATTCAAAAGCCTGATGAGAGAAGAACGTTGACTGTCTTTCCAAAAGGAATCCAATGTGGCCAGAGTCAGCTTTGTGGGAAGAATCCACTGTCATAGGATGGGGCTGGGGACCTAAATACTAATTTTTGGGCTGGGTCTACCTTTCTTCCAGGGAAAAGGGACCCAGGAACCTTCCTCTGCCTATAGTGGGATAAGTCGCTCTGGTTTCTTCTCCCTAATCCAATCCTCACTGGGCATTTAAAATAAGGTTTGGAGCCCTCCATCTCTGTCAGGTTCCCCTATCCCTGGAAGTCTCAGGCCTCCAGAGAGGGGTCCACTTCTCTGAGAGTTAGAACGCAAAGAGCTGTCTAGACTTTTATTTCTTCTAAGTGGTACCCCTAGGAGTTCAGGTACCTCAGAATCCTAGAACCTTCTTTTAGCCTCCTGGGAAGAGTCTTATTTATTTATTTATTTATTTATTTATTTATTTATTGGGGCAGGGGTTCAAGACAGGGTTTCTCTGTGTAGCTTTGGTGCCTGTCTTGGAACTTGTAGACCAGGCTGCCTCTGCCTCCCGAGTGCTGGGATTAAAGGCTTGCACCACCACTGCCTGGCTATTTTGTTTCGTTTTTGGTTTTTTTTTTTTTTTTTTTGGAGACAGAGTCTTACATGCCCAGCCAGGCTAGCCTCCACTTGCTACGCAACTAAGGCTGAACTTGAACTCCTTTCCTGCCTTCGCCTCTTGAGTGATGGAGTCTCACTCTGACCCTCCATCTGTGGTTTACTCTGTAGTGGGAAACAAACGCAGGGCTTTCTGCAAGCTAGACAAATGCCCTATTATTCGACTTATATGCTCGGCCCAGGAAGTCACTACTTTGGGTAAGTATAATGTAACATCTTAGTGCTCTGGGCTTTGGGGACAGAAAAATGGACTCCCTGGCTTCCATTTGGTTCTCAGACTTTGGGCCCAGGGGGCCCTTAATGAACAAATGAATGAATGAGTTACGGCTGATGATCAAGTTCCTCTTCTGGAAAGAAAGCTTATGCTCTGATTGAAACGAGAGGAGCTCGGGACCATGGGCACAGGAGAGATTGGGAAGATGGAGATAGAGGTAATTCCCAGAACTATCTGAGAGGCAGCGCCTAGCAGACTGGCTAGAGCCTTTTGCCCTGGAGACCTCCCAGCTCCTTCTCTCGGGCAGGGCTGGGATCGGTAGGCCTGGCGGCGGGCACTGAGCCCGTTCGTTCCCGGCCCAGCTCAAGCCAGCAGGAAGAGGAGTGAGGCCAGGCGAGGCGGGCCAGCTGGCCAGTGGGGAGTCCCGCGCGTGGGCGCGAGTAGTTGGGGAACCCCCGCCGGTGCCTCCCAGGCTCCATTGTGTGTGCTGTGCCCCCACTTTGGCCTCAGAGTATAAAATAGTCCCCAGAGATGGGATGGCTTGCGTGCCACTGGCGGGCGAGGCGCAACTGAGAGCCAAAGAGGCCTGAGAGATCAGGGGACTGAGACCTGAGCTGAAAGAGGCTGAGACGAGCTGGACCCCCGGTTCTCGTGGGCGGAGTTTCGAAGGGGCGGGCGCCCGTGGGGCGGGTCCTGAGTGTGGGCGGGGTCGGGGCCGGCACCTGGGTGAGGTCGCGCAGCCCCGCCCCCTCGCACTTCCGTGTGCCGCGGCGCCAGAGCAGGAGGCGGCGGCCGCGGGATCCCGCGAGCGGCCCCCGGACTTCTACCCTCGGTGCCGGGACCCTGCCGGTCCCCACTGGCCGCCGGGCCAATTCTCACCAGGCTGGTGCTGACCTCCCCGTCCACGCGCATCGGGGAAAGCCGCGCCGCGAGACAGACCCCGGTCCTCCGGGACCCCTGGCGCCTGGCCCTGCGTCGGGAGGTGAGTGCGAGCTGGGCCCGGGCGCGGGGTCCTAGCTAACTCGAGGGCGCAGCGGCCTTTTGCCCTTCTTCTCTCTCCGATGGCTTCCTTTCCCCTCTTTCTTCCCCGGTTCCTGGTTCTGAAACTGAGAAACTGAGCCATTAGAAGCCGGAGTCCCGCCGAGCGCGGAGACCCGCCGGTGCCTCGGTCTCCTAGTTGGTCTGATATTCTCTTCGACGGCAGGAGCCCAGGCCTTACTGCTCCCGGCATCTTTACCCTTCTGGGCGCCTTCAACCCCACCGAGGGTCCGTGCGATCCTCCGGAATCTCCCTGGGGGCCTCTACACGTTCGTCGGTCCCCACCCCCTCTTCCCTGGTCCTCCTCTCCCAGGCAGAGTCTGCCTGCCCCCTTGCCGTCCGTGTACTCCGTCTCCCTACCTCCGCCAGGCCCGCCGCCCCCTCGACCCAGTCCTCCCGGAGCCGCGCCCCCGGCCCACGCTCGCAGGCCCCAGTCAGTCCAGCCTCCGGTCCTTTTCCACCACGGGGCGGAGGCCGGGCCGCCCGTCGTCCTAGCCTCCTGCGTCTGGGTCCCAGGCGGGCGGACCGGCGCGGCGCCTCCTCCTCGCCCTATCTCTTCTCTCGGTCTCAGTGTCTTTCTTGGCTCTCCGTCTGTCTCTGGGCTGGGCGTGGCTCCAGTTCTTACCATTTCCCCTGTCCTCTCCGCCCCTCGGAGCCCCCTCTCCCGGTAGCCTTTGCCTGGTGCTGTCAGTCTCTGTCCCACAGGAGAGACGCCACTCCCTCTGGGGGGCCTAGTAAGGTGATAGGGCAGCAGTGATGGGAGTGCCCTGCCCTGCTGGCTGGCATCGGAGAGGGAGACCAAAAACACCACCACAACGGTTCCCACTTCCCCAACTTCCTCGGTATAGGGGGAGGGGAGGGAAGCGGGCCTCACTAAGCAACCCCACTTAAACCTGTCATGAGGATTTAGAATGAGTGGGGGGCGTGGGATTCCTTTCTCCTCTGGTTCCTACCCTGGGCCCTTGGAGGAGCTTAACTTCTGTTGCTGTCTGTGTTTGGGCCTGTGGGTATGTTATGTATCTTGTCTCCTTGTGTATTGTTTGTCACTGTAGGACTTTCTCCGTGTGTCCTGTTCCACGTGTGACTTGCTTGTATGTTTATGACTATGTGTCTTGAGGCTTTATGCTTGACTCTTACAACGTTATACATCATGTCTTGGCGAAGGCGAATTGCCATTGGTCTCCCCTCTATTTTGTGATATGTGTCTTTGCTTGCTCATGTGTGTATATGTATCCCTATGTGTCCCAAAAGTCCTATGTGCATCATGTAATGGTGACCATCTGGCCATGAGTAGATCCTTTAATTATAGGAGCCCACACTATAGGCGGGCCAAACCACAAGGCTTGTGTGTGTGTCTGTTTAAGAGTGCCTACAATCGTTTTCGGTTCTTCCCCGCTGCTGCTGATCTTCTATGCCCAGGCTGATCTGGTATAGAGGGAGGGGACTGGTCCTTGGGTTTCCTCGTTCCTGCTGTGGATTAGTCTGGGTGTGGTGAGCAGCCCAGCCGAGGGTGGTTGTGGTGTGCTGGTGTGTTTCCTCAGTGGCAGTATCTGTGTGATGGTGTGAAGGCTCTGGTATATGACAAGACCATGCTGAAGGTGACACTGGCAGTCCGCGGCTGTAATGGGAGAGTGTGACTGGTAGGAGATGCGTGGTCTGACAGTATGCAGGTGCTGAGGCGTGACAGTGGCTGTGGATAACAGCAACAGGAGGGTGTGAGAGGGTATGGGCAGTAGGACTAGGAGGGATGCTGGGTGCCCAGCTGTGGGTAAGCTTACGGGAGAACAGGAGGTGCTGGGTGTGTCTGCTCTGCATGCAGAAGCCCAGCCCTGGCTGCTGGAGAGAAGGAGAAACCTGGAGAAAGTTCTGGGTTTGCAGTGGTATGCTCAAGACTTCAGGTTCTGGACCAAAAAAGCCATGGGCTCTGTAAGAGTAGGAGTCCTTGGGAGGCAGAGGCAGGCGGATCTCTGTGAGTTTGAGGCCAGCTTGGTCGTCTACAAGAGCTAGTTCCAGGACAGACTCCGAAGCCACAGAGAAACCCTAACTCGAAAAAACCAAAAAAAAAAAAAAAAAAAAAAAAAGACTAGGAGTCCCAAGCCAGGCCTCTGTATGCTGAGTTTTCTTTGTAGAGCAGAGAAATTGAGGACTCAGATTCTTCAGTAGTCTTGGCTACCGCACATGTGAGGTCTTATGTGGGGACCGTTCCTGGCTGGCTGCCCAAGTCGGAATCTGGGACCATATTTCCCTTGTAGCGTGTCGTTTGCCTCTTCCTGCCTCCCTGACTAGGCTGCAGGCAGGAAGGAGGATTCTCCAGAGTACCAGAACCCAGACCTGTTCAACCCTGCTCAGCCCCGCCCCAACCGGCCCCCAATCTCTGTAGTTATGGTGGGGGGAGTGGGGGTGACTCAGAACTGTGATTATTGCAGGGTTCTGACACCATTTATCTGGCACAGCTAATTGGAGTTTAAATTTAAACTGGAAATCATTTAAGTACTGATGGCAAGATAAAGCCTGAGGCTGCTGCTGCTTCAGGAAGTAGAGATGGGGTCTCTAATTGGGGGAGTGGGACTTCTTTGTTGTTGTTTTTCGAGAAAGTGTTTCTCTGTGTACCTGCCCTGGAACTCCCTCTGCAGACCAGGATGACCTCTGACTCACAGAGATCCACCTGCCTCTGCCTCCCAAGTGCTGGAATTAAAAGTGTGCACCACCACTGCCCTGCAAGGGGGTGGGACTTTTTGAGGAGACCTAGCTTGCAGTGGGAATGCCAGATACTTAGGCTAGGACCCTGTGCTGCCTTTGCCATTCCTCCTGGTCAGGATATCTCTAGGCCTCAGTGTGTTCAACTGTACAAGGGTGTGAGAATCACCTGAAACCACGAAACAAGGACTGAGATGAATTACTATTACTACTCTGTCCTCTTGCTTTCTTAGTGGCACTGAAGACTGAACCTGGGACCCTACTTGGAAGAATCACTGAACTCTTCTTTTTTTTAGTTTTTGAGACAATCGCATTAGGTTGCCCAGTCTGGCCATGAACTTTCTTTCCGTGTAGCACACATTCACCTTGAATTTTTGCTTTTTCTGCCTTGGACCCCTGAGTAGCTAGGCTTACAGGTTGTATTTCACCGTATTACGGTCATCTCTTGCTTTCACTGTGAATCTAGCACAAGAGCTGGCAAGACATGTTTTGAAGCCTCAGAGCCACCTGGGGCATTGGAGCAGTAATATTCCCCCCCCCCCCCAGTTAAAAATTAGGCTTACAGTTGGGCATAGTGACACACCTTTAATCCCAGCACCCAGGATGTAGAGGCAGGTGGATCTTGCAACCAGGGATACACAGAGAAGCTCAGTCTCAAAAAGGTAGGGGTGGGCGGAAAGGCTCACTCAGTTTACATAGTGAATTTGAAGCCAGTCTGGGTGACATGAGACCCTGTTCTTATCTAAAACAAAAAGGGGGGGGGATCAAAGGAATTGTCTGAGGTTGGTGCTTGATTGTACCCTGCAACTCCAAAACCTTTAGGTCCACCTCCTTGACAGGAGGGTCAGAACAGGTGTTCACCCCCCACCCCTACCATGTTCCATGGCCTCCTTACCATACTCGAAATGTTCTGGACAAGGACACAATGTTCTGGACCCTAACATGGAAGGGACATGTAGCTGGTTCCCAGGAGAATTTGAGCCTAACAGCCAGCGACAGAAGAGAAAGTCAAGCCCAGGGAAGCCTGACCTCCTTCGTCCAGCAATGCTGAGCCGGCCTGTGCTGGCTGTGCGGAGGCTGGCTGGTGCTGGAGCCTGTTTGGCTGAGCCTCCCAGCTCAGCTGTTTTCTCCTGTTCCTACAGGTCTGCTGGGAATTGGTCCAGGCAAGGGCGTTGGGCCTACTTACTTCTGGTGGTTAGTGAGTGACTGCAGGAGCCGGGAGGCCTGGGTAGGATGGATCGTCTAGGGCAGATGGGCACGGCACTGTGCCAGGGTACCCTTTCTCTTCAAGACTTGTCTTCTTCCATTGGGACTGGCTGGATCCCAAGTTGCATTAAAAAGCTGTGATCTGGGTATGAAGCAGAGTGTCCAGCGGAGGTGCCCATTGCTTTGTCCATAAGGGGCTTCCTGCCTGATACCTGGCTGTGGCTTTGACCTTGGAGTTCAGAGGACTGGAACCCCAGTACTGAGAGAGAAGATGCTATGACACTGTTTTTGGTCAGTTTGAGGGACAGTAGCATGTAAACCAAGGGTTGCGTCAGCTTTCCCGTGCTTCCTCAAACTGCCCTCGTGTCGCAGGAAACAGGTTCACCTGTGCCCCGTGGTGCGTTGAGTGCTTGTCTGGAATAGGATGGCGTCTCCCAGGGGGACCGAGTGGTCTCCTACTTCTCCCTTGTCTCCTCAGCCTCCTGATTCAGAGCTGAGCTCTGCTGGGCACTGTCTTTGAGGGATGCCAGGGGAAGGCTGCAAGTCTCTGAAGTTAGCAGTGCCCCAATTGGGCCAGGCTTGCTTCCTTGAGCCCCTGTTGACATAAAGTCCTGTGACCTAGGTGCCCCAGCTCTGTGGTAATGTGCTTAGTGTGTGAAGCCCTCGTATAAGCCCCAGCACCCAAAACAAACAGAAAAAGAAAGAAGAAACAGGAGGAAGGAGGAAGGAAGTAGTTCTGTGTGTGCCTGGAGGAGCCCCCGTGAGCAGAGGTCTGCATGTGCGTACACACATGCATGTGTGTGTCCTGGAATCTGTGGAGTGACAGGGCAGGCTGGCAAGGGTGGTTTCCCTTCAGGGGTCCCTTGATCAGCCCCCATTCCCACTCTCTGGCTGTTAGCCACTGTTAGTGCAGGACTTGTGAAGCATCTCAGTGTGGAGAGGGAGGAGGTTGAGGTTCTCACTCCAGTGGGAATAGGATAAGGGTCTTCTCTGAGTCTTCTATCTATTCATCCTACCCCGGACCTGGTGGGGAGGGATTGA